GGGTTTCGTCCCTTCGCAGAGCGCTGCCCTGTTCCGTCCTGCCTGCTCCCTCGGCCTGGGTTTGGGGCTTGGGGTTTCTTGGGTCTTCAGCTGTCTCCTAAGCAACTTCCCGCCCAAGAGAGTTTGAACGTGGCATTTCAGCTGGAGACCAGCTGGTGGCAAAGCCCTGTGCGCTGTGTGATCCCTCTCACCTGTTTTGTTGCTCATGGCGCCTCCTCTGCGCACTTTTGAAGATGTCCTGTTGCTGTTGTTTACTGCCTATGTTAGAGTTCCCTCTTCTCGAGCGTTGCGTTGCACGGTTTCACTAGTGCTTGTAATTCTAATTGTCTTCTGTCTCTTTTTTGCATGTGCTGACCTGTCGATAGAAATCAGTTTACCTTGTGTGCTATCATAGGTGTCTTTGAGGTGTTCAAAGAGAGTATTTTAAAATAAAACATCCTTCTTACAACTGTGTAGAGATACAAAACATTTCTTTTTCAGATTGCAATTCCTGATAATGTCCGATTAAGATGTATTTCCTGGAATAAGGATCAAGGTTTCATAGCCTGTGGTGGAGAGAATGGATTACTGAAAGTTTTAAAATTGGAACCACAGACAGGTAAATGAGGGTTTTTTTTTTTTTTTTTAAGAATAAAATCCACCACACTTCAGAAAGCATAACTCCTTCCACAAGTTTGACAATATTGCATATGTTTTAAATCTGTACATAGATAGTTATGTATTTGCATAAACACCAAATGTGCTGTCACTTTCTTCTGAGCACTGTTTTCCTCCAGCTTGTCTTACAGGGCATACATGTAATTTGTCTACCTGTTATATCTGCTGGAGTTTTCTTCAGTGCTTTTTCTTTTTCCAGACATATGTTTCATTCTTATTCTTTTTGTATAGACTTCCAGTTAATTTTGGAACTTATTTCATTATTTCTTGATTTTGTTTGAAAGTTCTCTACTGTCTTCATTATTTTAGGGAGAAAGCTGTATTTTTTTTTAATAAATATGTTCCAAGAAAAGTAAAATCTAATATATTTTCAATTTCTTTTAAACCTTTTTCTTAATGTAGCAAAATATGATAGCCATAGTTGTTATTCTGGTGTTTTTTGTTTGTTTTGTTGGATTTTTTTCCCTGAAAAGCTGCTAAAC